AGCGGCCCTCCAGCTGTCGTGTCCCAGTGTCACCCCATCCTGGGTCCCCATCCTGGGTCAGCTCCTCTCCCCCTCCTTGCCCCGCCTCTGCTACCCCTGTCCCCTTGTCCGCCTCCGATTGGCACGCAGTCGTTCCGAGAACTGATCTACATCATCCTCGAGTGGAACACGCCCTCCACCCCGCACAGGAAGCAGCAATTAAACACCTCGACACTTCTAATTTTATAAGCTACAATAAAATAATACAAATATAATTAGGATCTGTCCGAAATATGAAGTTCTCCTTGTGTAAGATTTGTCAAAGCGTCGAGAATAGTTTTGCGAAACACGCTGGCTGACTATTTGAACCCAGTGCCGTTACGGCGGGTGGACACCCTTGTCGGGCGCGTGCGCGTTACCGTTTTATGTCCTCACAATTAAAGTAACGGGTGTGACGGTGTTTTTCTTAAAAAGAAGGAAGAGAGTCAGACGGAGAAGGAAAATGAGGAAGACAGTGTGGGCGCTTCAGAAGTGGGGGCCTGGACCGCTCCACTGCCACACGCAGAGCGCCACCAAATATCTTGACGGGGGGCTCGAACCGCTAACACGCCAAACAAAAATGACACCCCATGACATATGCACTTGCAGGCTAGAAGTAAAGCGTCCGCGTACTGAAATCAACGAAATATTTGTCACAGGGCGGGGTAAGTTACGAAAAAACAGCTGTAAAGTGACAATTATGCATTCTAGCCGTAGATAAAATGATGTTTGAAGACTATTGCGATATCCAGTTCCGTTTAAAAAAGATTATTTTACGCTTCCGTACGCTTCAGTGCTTACGACGTAACTAGCATGTTTTTCAAGTTTCGATTTTGTGTTTTAATTTTTATGACACCTCTTCCTTTCATCTGCGACATGAATGTGCAAAATATACCCGTCTTTTTCTTCAAAGGCTCTCGTATCAAGTTGCAAACTGTAAAATAATAGAATGGTCGCGCATGAGCGTGCGTGCACATGTGTGTTTGTGTGTGCGGGCGCACGCCCTAGTGTGTGCTTAGCGGTGCAGGGCTCGAGCTGAGGGTGCGTTCAATTAGACTAGCGCTGCCCGTTCGACCGCAACGGCTGGCCGCAGGAATCCAATATTAATATTATTGTTACCACACACAGCATTACACCCCGCCATTAACGACACATCGCAGAAACTCACCTGCAAAATACAGCGATACAATGGGCGTGGTGCTCGCTCGCACCCACTGGCGACGTTCGGCGAATTCTTAGGTTTCAGCCAGGGAGTGCGGGACGGTGCTATCCATACCCAGCTGACAGAGCACGTTTTTCTTCTCATATTCGAGCAGCCCTTAGCAGCAGCCCGCCTGCCTGGACCCGGATCCTGACAGCACTGTTGTGCCAATGGGCCAGCGGAGGGCTGGACCCAAGGTCTAAAGCCGAAAGGGTTGTCACTTTTTCGAAGGGTCTGCCTCGCGGCCAAACGGCGAGGCAACGACGAGGCAGCAGATTCTGCCTCGCGTGCACGCAGCTCTCCTAGTTTCCGTAGTCACTACACAAATTTTGTGCGGAGTCTATGACAGTGTGATGAAAGGATGCTCTGCTCCACACTCTACCCCGGGTCCCCGGGTGGTCAGCAAGCAACGGCGAACCCAACCCCAACCCGCCCCACTCCACTCCGCCCCAGCTGTCCTCCTTCCCATCCCGCAGATTAAAAGCTCGCAGCAGCGCGCCGCTGCTGCACCTGGACAACTGCAATCGGGGACGTTCAGCTGGCCATCGGCGCGAGCGCGCGCGAAGACCGGGGGACGCGGGGAGGCAGGGGGAAAACACTATGATTTGCAAAACGCTGGCCGGCCGGGGCTGGCCGAACTGTGTCAGAGTGAAACAAATGAAGTGCGCCAATATGCCGCGCGGCCCCAGCCCTAGATTCCTTTCTATTGCCATTGCGATGCGATCGCATTTCCGAACGCGCCGCCCGCCGCGTCTGTTTCCCGTTTTTGGCGCGGGCTGCAGTCACCGCCGTTCTTGTCGTTGTGGTTGTTGCTGTTGGAGGGAGGAGTCGGGGAGGGGGGAGGGGGGGCGCCGAGCACCACCATACCATGTGCCTCCTAGAGGCATCTGAGTGGGAAACGTTGCTATAGAAGGCGGTGGCGGCGGCACAACGGACGACAAGCCCTTATCATCGCACACTGCTCTAGAGGGCGGTGCCCTTGCCCTGGTGTACACGCCCCGCGCACCAGCACGCAAAGACATTCAGGACAAAGGCCACATAAGTCTTAAACTTTACTTCTGTGTACGCCTTTCCGTACCGATAGCTAACCATACGGCGAAAGACTTTCCTTATTTTACAAAATTTACAAGATGTGGAAAACGATTTTCGAAAATAATCGCAAACATCATTAAATTGGTGCGGTATTGTTTTGTTTTGTTTTGTTGTTTTAAATTAAGTATGCTTTTGTTTTTGGCGTTTGGATCGGAAAATTCATAACTCGCGGGTCTCGGAGCCGCTGGTCTGGTGGGTCTGTGCTTCACTAAACGGCGTTATTTATTGCAAGGAGCGGGGCCGCTGCCGCCGCCGCCTCCTGGCTGCAGGCCTGCAGGCAGCTCTGTGCAGCCGCAGCCGGCCGGGCCTCGGGCCGGGCCTCGGGCTGGGTGCACGCAGGGTGGTGTCATTAGCGCCAGCGACCCGCCACGCCACGCCAGCCCACGCCAAGCCACGCCACACCAAGCAACACCACGGCACACCAAGGCACGCCATGCCATGCCATGCCATGCCATGCCATGCCATGCCACGCCACGCCAGAGCCGAGACGGTCCGTTCCCATTCCTCATCACTTACCTGGATATCCGCGATGACGATGAGAAGGAAACCCCCGGCTCTCCACCACGTCTCCTACAGGATAGTGGCTCCCCTCGGCTCCCTCCCAGAGTCGTCCACCGAGGCTGGCCCGGAGGAAGTCCCATAGGCAGCAGGTCCATGATGTTACTTGGTATGATGACAATATAATGTTCAATCATCCGGTGAATGTCACGAACTGTGAGCCAAGCCAAGTACTGTCTTTGCTGTACTCTTGACAAATTTGCTGGAATCTTTCCATGCTTGTTCTTCTCTGTGCGAGGAGGGGTTCAGAAATACGATCCCAACAGGTCCGACAACTGCAAACAGAGAGAAAGCGAATTTCATTAGACGCAACACTGCACGGTCAGCATAACGTACACTCCGTTTAGCCGAGAAAGAAGCTCAGCGGAGCGCCTATGGCGTAGGCAGCGCCGCCCAGCTTCCGTGACTTGCGGGGCGGCCTACCCGGAGGTTCGCAGGCGCTTTCCTGTTGTACACCTTCATGTAGGTAGGTAGGGTGGCCCACGTACCCCGCACAATTCTGCGTAGTTACACACTGTACCGCATGCAGGCCTGTGTGGACGCGTTGCCTTAAGGCTCCGAAGTGACAGGGCAAGCAGGCAAGCCTGTGTCCACAACCACACATCGGCACGGCTGCGTGCGCACTCTGTAAAATGCTTGCAAAGAAAAGGTTCGTATTGGAAACGATTTTCTTGACAACGAACCAACGAACTAGTTCTTCGCAAGTTCGCAAATAACTACATATTTCTTTGCGATATGACCACACCGTTTTCAAGAGCTCTGACAGCTTGCAAATAATTTCTTTGTCATTAGAACTAATTATTTTCAATTCAAAGATCGAAAATTCTTCGCAACGTTATAAATAAATAGTTTACAAGCACTTTACTGCGGTACAGTATAATTACACATTTTCCAGGGGGCGTGGGCCACCCTGTCTTTTTTATTTTATTTTATTTTTGCAAAAGAGCGCACACACGCGCGCAGGGTGAATGAGGGCCGAGGCCAGCCAAGTGTGAGCCGGCCTATAGAGGCAGGGCGGGCAGGGCCCGGAGGAGGGGCAGTTTGGCGTGCAGCGGGTGCGTGCGACCCCTCCGGCCGGGCCCACTCGCTTATCGCATCTCACCGACAATGTCATCGTTTTAGCGGACTCGCGTGCGCCGGGGCAGGGCGCGCACGCACACATTGACACACACACGCACACACATCGGCGCGCGCGCGCACACGCACAGGCACACACACGCATAGGCACACAGGCACACAGGCACACACAGGCACACGCACAGGCACACGCATGATGATATCAGCCGAGCGGCCGGACGACGTATCGCTAATTCGAAAATTGTTTCCCGCCTTATACTGCCGAGGCCTCTGCCACCGGCCCACCGCTGACAGAGCGATGGGAACACTCGCAAGGTGCAAAACGGAAACTAAAAGTGCATGCACGTAAAAAAAAAAAAAAAAGGAGGAACGCGGGAGGACACAAGAAACGCGTTTGCCAATGCAATCTGTCCGTGTGACACGAGGGTGTCAGTTGCCCGTCGCCGCATTCTCCAGAGAAGGCCCAGCCCAGCGCCAGAAGTGCAGCGGCAGAGGGCACCAACAGTCTAGCAGCTGGCCTCAGGCGGTGGCTGCGAGCGTGCGGAAGATCCCTGCCTGCGATCGGCATCCCTATGGACCCTACGGAGCAGGCGGACGGCGGCAGTGGCCCTTTACGTGCGGGTACACTGCGAACGGCAATTTCAATCAGTTTCATAGTGTAGCATATTACCTTACATACTTGCGCGACGTTTTTTTAATTTAATTTCTTTCCTGGAAAGTTATCCCGGAAAATGGCCACGTTTTCTTTCTTTGTCGTCAACGTGACAAAATATGTTCAGTGCAGTGCCAGGACACACCGCGCTGCATCGCCAACTCCGTTTCGGTACTGGAGTTGGTCTGTGTTGAGTCCACGACGTATCCCAGCCAGGTAAACTACTCTCCTCCTCTCCTACTGAACCATAATTGTTTCATTTGTTGTAATAAATAATAGTAATTACAATATCCCGGACTGGACCGCGGCACCACGTGACACCGTTACGACCACGTGGTCCACGTGGTCAGCGGCACTGTTGCCATGACAACCGCAGCGACTCTGCACGTGACGGCGTGGCCAGGACGGACGTCCAAAAAGAATCTCCCCCCACAGCATCCTCTGCTCACCACCGGCCCCAAGTTGTAACTGTTTGAGTATTGAAGTGGACAGTACACGGACACGGAGGGAGCCGAGTAAACATGTGTCTTCACCTCTTTCTGTGTAGCTTTAAAAAAAAAAAAAACAAAAAAAAAAAACGCGTCAAATGTGTCATTGCAACAATCCAAACTCTCGCCATCGCAATAAAAAAAGGTGGTCACAAAGATTACCTATGCAAATATTTACCCAATCCCCGGGAGGTGCAACCTCTGCAGTGCAAAGCAGAAGCCGCGCCCCGCGCCCCTCGTCCCGTTCCGCCTGCCACAGGGTAACGTAGCCTCGCCGGAATAGCCGCAGAAAGGTGGGAAACGCGAGCGAAGCTGCAGCGGCTGCTGCTGCTGCAGCAGAAGGGAGCGGCGGGTCTTGGTCCTGGATGTGTCTCCCCTTCCCGGAGGCGCGGCGGAGAAAAATGGTGAGAAACACGGGCGGCCTTGGTGACGGCGTTAGCGCAACGAGGCGCGACCAGAGGCCGTATCGACTGGTCCCTCTGACTGGTCCTGCCGGCCAATGAGTCATTTGTCTGCCGCACACGGCTCCGCGGCCATCGCCCCCCGGCGGGGCCCCCGGCATCAAGGGGCGGGCGCACCTTTTTAGGCCTAGATTCGCCCCGCCCCGCCCCGCCCCGCCCCGCCCCATGAGACGCTGCTACTGCTTCTTCGGTAATACCTCAGTTGGCTGAGCACGGGGTAAAAAGCAAAGCGCCGCCTGGCGGCAAAAGTCGGGAGTCACTCCGATAATGAGTGGAACTGGTCGCAGAGGTTCATCGCCAGTTCACTCCTCTCGACCGCAGGGGTCGGACGCAAACTGCTCCACAGACCGCACGCTTCTTTTATAGTTGTTGCACTTCCAGGGATGCATGTTCCCCGGGGGGAAATGTGTTCGTAAGTTGACCACCACAGGGGTAAATTAAGCGACCTCATCACGCACAAAACAAAGATCTCCACGACTAAAAATTAATTAAAAGACTGACAAGAGGTAGCGTAGAATACGTGGGCCATGCCATCTCTTTTTTACGGTTACTATTTTTTTTAGTAATAACTTCGTTTTTGGCACCCTCTCGAGGCTCCTGAGTTTCTTAGAATATGTTAAAATGCCAAGGTATTTAAAATTTTCTAATCCAAGCGTGAAGTACGTAAGTACGAAAGATTTGGCATTTTGCTTCGTAAGGTGTTTTCTGTATGTCCCTAACTTTACTTTTCCAGTGAAGTGATCCCTTCGTAAGTCGTCCTCTTTTCTAAACGTACACCTGCTTCCAAGAGAAGAGCAGAGGAGGCTTGTGCCGAGGCCTCGGCCCCTTTGACAGGAACGACAATAAAAGACTCCCTGTGCATGCGAACGAGTGCAACAACGGCCTGACCCGACTCACACGGGTTTTATCTGAGGCCATATCGTGAGCTGGATGAGACACAGCGCAGAGGGCCAATTCTCTCTCACTCACTCACAGAGGTCTCCCCCCGCAGCCACAGCGGGACTGTGTCTTACTCTCTCGCTCTTTTGCACAGAAAGGTTGGTGGCACCATACGCGTGTGAGCGACTCTGCACTGCAGCAGGCTCGGATTATTGAGCAAATAACTGTCATTAGGAGACACGTACGATGCCTTTTAGCGGGTCGGGCGGACGGCGCGGCGACGGGAGGAACGGCGTGCGAAGTGTGCAAGTGTGCCCCGCGCCCACACGGAAAGCACTACTTTCCCCGCTGCTTGTTCTGACATGAATTTTAGTTTGTTAAAAATAATTTTTAAGGTCTACGAAGGAGTGACTCGTCGAGACGGCCTGAAATTTCGTTTACTGTTTGGGCGCAGAGTCGTACAAGGGAAGGGATAGCCCAGAAAACACGTCCGTTTTTCTCAGATCCATTCAGTAAATTACAGAGCTCGGCGCCTGCGGGATCCAGGGTAGGCCACACCGCAGAACACGTGCGCTTTGAATGCAAGATGTTGCCTACCTATCAGGTGCTATGAGCTTGCACACGTACAACTTGAGAATTATGTAATGGCTTAATGAAGGACGTACTTTCTAGATGATTCCTAAAAGATCATCGGTTTTCGAGGGTCCTCATTGTGTCTTAGACTACCCTGTAAATATAAGGTTACCCAGAAGCTGTACGACTCAATTTCCACGACCCAGAAGAACCTGAGCGACTTAAGACTTGGGTCACACGGCTGCTTGGCAACTTGGTGTTGACACAAGACATGAGGTGTCCGCAACAACAAGACACCGCACCTTGATTGTTCCTGAAGCACTACCTCGAGCAGGACAGGGCTTTCACGACAGTATAAGGCGACAGAAGGTGTCCAGGACTGTCCAGCAACTGTGCGACTTAAGTCCGCTTAAGTCGCATAGGTTCTGGGCTCATGCAACTGCAACTTAGGTCGCACATTTGCTGGACACCCTCAATTTACAATGTAATCGAAACCGTAAACCGTAAAACAAAATGTTTACTGAGTGTTGGGCGTCGCAATGCAATTCCGAAAGGGAACGAAAAATGAAAATTACGGGAAACATTCAATCGGAATCTCACTGTTATATCTTTTCATGGTGCTCCTCTCCTAACCCCCTCCCCGCAGCCTAAGATGAGACGCGCCTCGCCCCTCTGCCCTCCCCTGTGTGCGGGGCCTGCGGTCCCAGCTGAGGTGGGGTCGAGGGGTGCCCAACTCGAAAAGTCAGTGTACACCAGATTACCAAACAGTAAAGATTACCTAGGATTACCTGTGATTACCGAGGATTACCTGGGATTACCAATGATTACCGACGATTACCAGTGATTACCAAAGATTACCGGTGATTACCAAAGATTACCGGTGATTACCAAAGATTAC